CCTCTTAGCCTTCTCCAAACTAGTCCCCTCTTGTTCCCAAGGTAGAAATCAGGGGGATACATGGATTTGAAAACCCATCATCAGGCGCCCTATTAATGATGGTGAAAGAAACCAGGTGCAGAATCTTCTGCAACATCTGACCTCCTGACCTCCTGTAATATGCAGCCCTCCAATGCAGAAGACAAGCCTTTATGGTCAATATCCCCCTCAAACATTTTCTTTGTCAAGTCTCTATACTATTCTCTTGCAGACGGAGGACTGCGCAACCAATTCCAGTCTATCATTTGGAACAATTTGCTTCCAAGTAAAGTACAAATCTTCTTCTGGCTCCTGAGTTTATCCAGACTTAAAACCAGGGACAGATTGTCTAACCAAGGATGGCTAGGGGATCCATCCTGCTCCTTCTGCAGCTCCCAGGAATCGCAAGAGTATCTATTCCTTGAATGTACTTTCGCCAATCAGATTTGGGTGCCATTGCTAACTAAGATTAATATCACTGTTTTAAATATCGGCCGATAATCGATATTATCGGCCGAGTTATTGGATTTGGGAGCTCTCCGCTAGGATAAATTAGATTTTTAATCGGTTATCGTTTTTGTAGGTTTATCGGCGATTTATCGGCGTTATCGGCACTTATCGGCCGATAAGTAAGACTTTTTTATCGGGATTATCGGGATTATCGGCCCATTTTGACTAACATTATATTTTTTTAAGGCTATGATGCAAGTTTCGCTTTCTACAATTTGTTAGTGATTCTAAACATGATGATTTACATTTGGTATGTTTATATTTCATTAAGCATGATTAGATTATATTTTTTAATTGTTATATTATATATACACATCATCCAGTATATCACTCCGATAAATACTACTTATCCCCGATATATCCCCGATTTCCGCTATCTGATAAGGATTTTGGCCGTCCGATAAATCCCCGATAACCGATATTTAAAACCTTGCTTGTAGTTGAGTACACGATTGGCACTATTGGTAAAGTTTTTAAATATTTAAATAGATGAAATTATTGAACCGATGGTTCTTTGACATTGTCTTCCTATCTGCTTGGATGCAATTAAATTTTGCACTATAAGTGTGATATAAGAAGAATTTTTTTTTAATCTTGATAGTCTCTTGCATTCAATAATGGTATGGGTTAAATTCCGCCAAATAAGTGCTAGAGAAAATGTGTGAGATCATCTTTTTAAAATCCTTAGACAATCAAAATCACGTCTTCCTGGATATTGTGGATTGGGGCTCAAAGAGATGTAGCATATTTACTGCCCCCTTGAGCGGAGCAACGTTGCTGCAGTGTGTCCTATGTCTGACACTGGATGATTTTTGCGGTTAGAAAACTATTGGTGCACGGTGAGTAATCAGCAATGACATGGGTGATGTGGACACATTTTAACTGTTGATGATGGCCTACTGTAAATTTATCTTCACATTGTGGAGTGTAGGGTGGTGAAGCTTAAGTTGAATTAGGCTGTCCATAGTTCCTTAGAGTTGAACTTACTTGCACAACACACCTTTAGATTATATCAGTTTCTTATTATTGTTTTTTTTATTGTTTATGACTTTATTCTTTTGTAGTTTTTATGTTGAGAACATTTTCCGCTCATAGGAAGATTGAGAGAAACCATTGAAAATTGACTTTTTTTCCTTGCCTGCAGAATTTGCATGCAGTACTTGTAATCATTATTTGTCAGCAGTTGCACTATATCAGTTCTCTGTTTCATGTTTTATGTGTTATTGTACAGTGTTGTATGGAACCCTGTTGGGCAGATTGGCACGTGCCAGACATACATTGTACACATTTATCGTTTGTGTGCTTTATTGAATTCATTTTGTATCTTGTAGTGTGTTTCGTAAGTGTCCATGACCCATTGATTTTGTCTACAGAACGGTGTTTCACTTGATACAT